TGGGTGTGGGGCCGAATACCTCCTCCCAATCATGGACCTCCTCTGAGGCCCTGCTTGTTGATGCCTGTCCTTCCGGCCTGGGCCTTGAGACCCTATCCATCTCGTCATCGCTACTTACAATTACAACCTTCGGAATGTCCTCCTCTGTCTCACTGCCATCTTCTGTGGATCCCTTAGCGTCTTTCCGGCTTCCCTGCCCAGATTCTTCCTTGTGCTGGTCCTCTGTCCCTTTCTCTTTCCTCCTTTCCTCCCGTTCTTGCTCACTCTCATCCTCTGACCAGGCTGGGAGCACATCGCCCTCTTTTGTAGGGGAGGGTCTACAGGCTCGCATCTTCCTTTTTCCCTTCCTCACAGGGGGCCGGGGTTGCGGTCCTATCACGAGCACTGGTCTGTTTCTGTTTTGCGGCCTCTCTGGTTGCCGCCATGGGTCATCGACATTGATGTTTGCTTGATTAATATCGTTCTCGTTGTTGGGTGCCATCTTGGTCCGCCTGACTTCTATACCTGAAAGGCAGGACACAAGACATGAGAAAGCCCCAACCCATTCCCTTGTGACACTCATCCCAGGCTCTGCCCACACGTGTCCCCCAATCCCGGTTGCTCCCACGGAAACAGAAAGGCATGAAGAAGAAAAAAAAGGAGGAACAGCCGACCACCTCGCCCCCTTTTCCCAACGCCCCTCGAATGCCATGTCTTATGGTACAATGTCCCATCCCCCATTGCTCATCCCAGTATCCCACAAAAACTATGATACAGAAAAACCCCACCGAATCGCACGTTTTCCCATGCGACTCGTGCACACCCAGGCCGTCAAAAGGAAAGAAACACACAAAAAACAAAAGACAATAACCAGAAGCACAAGCGGTACGTAGGCCTCTTGCCACTGTCCTGAGCGGCCTTAGTCTTCCGCCTCCTTATCCTGGGCTTCTTACAGCCATTGTTCCACAGGATCCCTAGTGAGAAACCTGACCAGTCGTTGCGCAGGGACTGGCCCCCTTATAGTGATCCCATCCAGGTTCTCAATCTCAAACGTGCTTACACCCAATTTTCTTGCAATACGGTAAGGTCCCTTGAATCGCCGCCCCAATTGGCCTGACCATGTAGTTTCTAGTGTCGAATTTCTGACTAGGACCATCTCCCCGACCTGCAGAGGCTCCTTCCGGATGTTCTTCAACTGGTCCCACCTGGTTTTGTCCTTCATGCAACTGTCTAGTACCTTGTGAGCTATTTCTTCCAAGGCTTCCTCGTTCCTGGCCGCTTGTTCACACCTTGCCTCAATCAATTGTTCCGTAGTCAGATGAGGATCATCTTCCAATTTGTTCCAGGTGGGTACTAGGGCCTCTACCGGAAAGTCAATCTCCCTGCCATACCATAGCTCTGCCGGGATGCATCCCGTCGTCCTTTTTGGTGTCATATTCTCGGCAAATACCGCGTGTCTGAGATAGTCCGGCCAGTTCCCAAGGTCATCTGCTGCCAACTTTGCAATCGTGTTCTTAAGCGTTTGGTGCCCTCGCTCGACTGGCGTGTTGGCCTCAGGGTGGTATGGTTCTGTCAATTTGATCGGTACGCCAAGCCTCTTGCAGGTATTCAGGACGTCCTGGTTCACAAACTCAGTCCCATTGTCGGCTATGAATCTCCTGATGAACGGGTGCCTCAGATAAAAGTCCTCCACCCGGTCTGCAACTGCAAACCCAGTTTTCTTCTTGAGCGCGGTTACCTCGACAAACCCACTAAGGTTATCCCTTGCGTCAAGTATGTACCTGTACCCTTTTCTGGAAACCGGCATGATTGCCAGGTCGAGATGTACCATATGCCCTGGCCCCAGCACGCGGGTGGGTCTAAGTGGCTCGAAAATGCGGACTGTGCTTCGTTCCTAGCAGATTTTGCAGGTCTGGCAGTACGTGGCTACCATAGATGCCATTCCCGGCCAATAATAGAGCGGCGTTATCTTGGCTAGGGTCCCTTTGGATGAGCGATGGCCACCGGCCAATCCGTCATGGATGGCCTGAATAATGTCGAGTTGTCGCATCCTTCCACAGACTACTCTCCTGGGCGTCAGGCGTTCCTCCTTTCGGAATAGGTGCCCCCTCCTAGCACATACCTATCCGCTTCCTCCCTAGCTTTAGGACTAACCTCGTGGGGTTCCTTGTTTCCCACCAGTAGCAACCCAATTTCTCTGAACAAACCTTCATATGACTTGATGAGGAAGAACTGCTCTTCTTCCTGAGTACCCGTCTGATTATTATCCACCTGATAGGCCTGATAGTGCTGCATTTCCAGCTCCTGAGACTCCATCATGCTCATAACCCTTCTCCAGCCTCCCTCAATGACTAGTGCGATTTGTTCATCCCGGGGCTTCACAACACTGCCCCAGGCGTCCTTCTCTTCCCTCCTTCCAACTCTGGTGACCATACCTTCCCTTAACTCGGCAACCACTGCCGGAGGCCCCTTTTCGAGTGCTTTGTTCAATAGCTCCCCAGTTGTGCAAGTGGTTCCGACCATCTCGCTGTCTACTTCCAGCGTCTCGCCCTCGTAGTCGAGGAACCCGTCGATCAGCTCTGCCTCTTCTAGCCCTTCGGGTGTGAGGGCCACCCTGCTCAGTCCGTCTGCTCGATTCCTAAGGCCGGCTATGCGCTCAATCTTATAGTCCAACTGCCAGATAAATCCTACCATCTTCCAACGGTCGGGTCTATAGGCTTATAGTTCTTCAGGGCCCCAGCGACATTGGTTGGGTCTATCCTCAGGATAAACCTCCTCCCGAAGAGATAAGCCTGAAAGGTCTTGAGGCAATGCAGTATCGCAAGTACCTCCTTCTTGAACTGAGAGTAGCGCGGCTCAGCCGAATTGAGCGTCCTACTCTCAAATCTGATCGGTCGCTCTCTACCATCTTCGCCTTTTTGAATTAGCACCCCGCCGACTGCCATTGGTCCTCCATCCGTCTCAAGGATGAAAGGTCGACCGAGCTCGTCGTTGAAACACGGAGCGGCAAGGGTGACTTCTTCGGATGTGAGAATATTTTTCAGGGTCTGGACGGTCGATTCACTTTCCTCAGTCCAATCGAGCGTGCCTTCTTCACGGATCATGGCTCGAATCGGTTCCGCTATCTTTGCGAACCCTTTTATGAAGATTCTCCAAAAGCCTACCACCCACAGGAATGCCCTGACTTCTGTTGTAGTTCGAAGGGGCGTAGGCCACTGTGCTATCTTATCAGTCTTAGCCGGATCCGGCTTCCTTCCATGGGTCCTACAACGAAATCCCAAAATTGTGACTTCTGGTACTGCCAAGATACTCTTCGGACCGCTAGCGGTTATGTTGTATTCTAGGAATCTTCGCAGTAGCTCTCTAATATCCTGCAGGTGGTCCCAAACAAACTTTCTTATCCCCGGCTGGACTTCGGTCTCATCCCTTTCCCGTGCTCCTTTGACAGGGTTGTCGTCAATGTAGGGCTCACATTTGTCTGGGAACATGTCCCCGGCCACCGCGAGCATCCTCCTCTGTGCCTCTGCTACCGCATTAGTAAATCCCATAGGCGTGACCTGCATCTGCAACTGTCCTACTGGCGTATGCATAGCCGTGTAGGGCCTATCTTGTGCGTCCAGCGAGAGCTGGTCGTATCCTGAGTACAGATCTATCATGGAGTAAATACTGCGTCCGGCATGGGATTCGGCCAGGAGATCTGGCTGCGACAACGATCCCGCATCCCGGATGGTGACAGCATTTAACTTTTGCAGGTCCTGAATCCACCTAAGTGACTTGTTGGGCTTGCGGAATACAAACCACTTGTTGGCATAAGGAGACGCGGTGGGTTCTGCCACGAAGGAGTCCATTTTTGCCCTAAGGAGCTTCGTCACTTCTCCTGCGATCCCAAAGTCGTAGGCCGGTCCCTTGTCATTCCAACACTCATGCTCGACCGTGTGGATCCTGACCGGTGGAATCAACTTAGCGTCCAGGCGCCGATGGTCATTGAAAGCGAATGCTAGGTGAGATTCTTGGCATGCTTCTTTGATTGCCTGTGTTTCTTGCTCCGTCAGAAAACCCTTTACTCCGATCTTCATGGTTTGGGCCACCTCATCCGGTATCCTATGTCCTTCCGCCACCCTCCTTTCTCTAATTACCCGAAGAACCTCCTCCTCCTTTTCCATGGCCTCCTCCTTAGTCATCTCGAGTAGGATGGAGACCGGTGGAGACCGGTTTCGCCTTCTTTCCTACTGGCTTATACCTCTGAACGCTTCCTTCCGGGATCTTTCTTCTAAAAAATGAACGGCCGGAGTTGCTTGCAGGACTTCCACAATGCGGGGCTGAATACTGACCAGCTCCCCATTTAGGCAATAGCCTTTTTGGATCCTTTCCTCAAAGCGGGCGAGGGCGGCCGGGTCAACGGCCACTTTGTGGTACCTGATTGCTTTGACCAGCTGCAGTAAGTCCGGGATCTCTAGTGTAACCTTATCCTTCTTGTCCCGGACCTCCCCGTGCTTGGGCAAACTGGCTCCCGATTCCACCTCGGTTTCCTTCTCTACTACCATGACTCCCAGGGCGTCTTCGTCTGACCTACGTTTCTTCATCGGGAGTCCCATCTTGACCCATTCTTTCTTACTAAAGGCCTCTTCGATCATAATTTCCACCCTCTCTCTCTCATCCCTTCCATGCGTGCGAAAGCTTCCTTTCTAGCGCTGTCCTCAAAGGAGGGTGACCAGGTTGCAAGCTTCCCTTTTGGCGTGTCTCCCCCGGTTCCCATAAGGCGAAGCAGCTCGTCTCGTCCTGTCACCAGGTCCTCTTTGTCTACCATGTAGGCGCCGTTGTGCAGATGCATCCCGATCATATCTACGTTGGCACACCACGGGCGCCCGAGGATCACGTAATGGTCCATTTCGTCCATGACGGTCATTCGTTGGAACGACCATATAGACTCTCTAACCCCGGCTTTAACTGCGCACTTGGTAACATAGCCGGAAAAGGGGATTTCCCCACCTGCTCCCCGGACACTCCCCGTGACCTCCCGGTAGATTGGGCACCCAGCAATTGTTGCAAAGTCCTTGCGAATGAGTGTGATTTCTGCCCCGCCATCTACCAGTGCATCCGTATGGTGGGTGCCAGTCTGGACTTTCAGTTTCCCTACCGGTAGCGCATGGAAACTAAGTTTCGTGCCAGGCGGTGCCCTCATGACTTCTTCGCCTTCCCGGTCTGGCAGACTTAGCCGGATGTCTGCGAAGGCCTTCTCTAGATCTTCCAGATCCCCGGGGGCCCTCTGAAGGTTTGCCACTTCCCGCGGTGGCTCCTCTTCCTTGCCTTCTTCCCGTACATCCGGTTCCTCCCCTATTTCCACCCTTTGCCTTGTTAGCAGCAGTCTTAGGCCCTTTAGTAGTCTAGGACTAGCCTGCAACATGGTCTGGAAGGAAACCGATACCATGGTCCCTAGCAACTGGCTAAGAGTGTGGTCTATCTCAGGATCGGCAAGGATAGGGATCTGGTACCTGAATTTCTTCTTTGCGGATGTTACTTTGTCTATGGGCGCCTCCTCCCTAGGCTTGCCGTAAACTTTGTCCTGATCCGATTCTGCTGGCGGATTCGACCCTTCCTGCGCGTCTTCCATGACCGCGTCCTGAATTATCTTCTTTGTAGCACCCCGTTGTCTGGTGGTCACATTAACCCCGTCGCGGTCATCACTCTCAGTGATGAAGTTAACCTGGTGCCCTCGCCCGGGTGCCTGTCCCCAGGTAAGTTCCTTTACTGGTTCGGCCTCAACCGCGGCTGCGTCCAAGTTGTTAAGTGTGATTACTGCTCTGCGCATCCCTCCCGACGAGCTCCAGTTTACCCTCTCTCCTCGTGGCCCCAGGATTTCCCCGCGCAAAGTTCTAAAGCACCGTTTAAGGATGATATCGTGGTTAAGCCTGGGACACATGTGGACAAAATGCCCGACTATCGTGCAGTACTTGCACTGCTCATTGGCCGGGTCCTTTCGATTATTACCGCGGTTGGCTATCCCTGGGGGTACGATTGCCTCTTGTGGCGGGAGGGGGGGTCGTACTGCTTGCGTTTGC